AGAAAACCTACTGTGAAATATTATATTCATGTTGAAAAAAGGCCAAAGCAACTTCATGTTTAAAAAAAAAATCTATTGAAAAAATTAATTCTACATGTTTTTCTGTAGTATTTATGCTGTTCCTTTTATAATATTTTAATAGAACTGGGTTGTCCTTGCAAATAAGCTTGAAATAACTTCAAGCAAGTGTGATTCTCAAATGCACACCAGAACCACTTCTTCAGGGGATTCAGTCATTTTGGTTTATAAGCCTTCATCCATTTCTAGCCTAGCACAGCATGGTGCTAATTCCAAAAGGAAGCATAGGTCCGTGCAGCAAAACATTTTTAATTGGCTAAACTATTTATGCAACATGGTGCAACATCATCACTCAAAAAACATCCTTAGATTACCTCACATGTGCAAGCGTGCATCCAGTGTAATATACTGAATAAGTTGCGATATTGAACACATAGTGTTCTATGTGTTAGTATTATAAATTGGTGACACTTGGACTTCCTGTAATACCATCTCACTGTACCTATCTACCTGACACATCACTAGCATGTCAGAAAATGGGGCTCCCCTCTAACACAGCAGTAGCTGACACTCATGTACAAATAGTGACTTTGCTATACCTCTTGTACTAAACCTCTCTACTACCTCAAAGTTAGAAAATGATTTGCATTTCACTGAGATAAGTATTTGATCCTGAACCAAAACATGGCCTATAACACAGCAGTAAGATGCTTCTTGTAGTCTGTTACCAGTTGGTTACTCAGGATAGATTATGGCCCACTCCTCTTCACAGGAACTCTTTAAATCCTTTAGGTTTCTTGCCTGCTGTTTGTCAATGAAAAACTTCATCTCCCTCCATAGATTTTCTACAGGATTGAGGCCTAGAGTTTGGCTACTACATGACCTTAATGTAGTAATGTCTTCTTTAACCACTCCTTTTTTGCCTTGGCAGTATACTTTGGGGCCAGACCTGGGGTGATTGATGGTTATTTTATATTTCTTCAGTTTCCATATATTAAGGTCAACAGCTGTCTTCTTACCAACTTTCTTGCTGATGGTTGTGTAGCCCATTCCACCTTTGTGTAGGCTCACAATCTTATCCCTGATGTCCCTTGACAGCTCTTTGGTCTTACCCATGGTAGTGGGCGGTGTGGAGTGGAAGAAATAGATTTTGCAGACAGGTGTTATGTGAGCTGAGATCAGTAGTACAGGGAATTGACTGATTATAATCTGTGTACCGCATTTCTCTCCCACTGTAACATCTTTTTATACCTTCTAATTTCACTCCTCAAAAGTGGATCACAAACTTTTTGGACAAGCTATGCCATCACAGCAGACCATATTATTTTTTATTTTATTCAATTAAAATGCTTCAAATGATACCAGCAGTACAAATATAGTGGAAAGGTTCAGTTCAGTGACTTTAATTAGAGTAGGGGAGGGCTAGCAGATGATATATCCAAATGAATAAAAATTTCCAAAAGACTTCTAAATAGCCTTCAAGTCTGCTGGCTGTTTGATAATAAACAAGATAAAGGTGTCACTTTTCATACTGGAGGAACTATTTCTTTACACTTTTTGGGGCCAACTTTAAGCGGCAGTTAAAACTGGTTTTTGGTACTTCTCCACTGATGAGGTAGTCACCTAGTGGTAACATGTATGAAACTAAAAATCCCTGATAAAAGTGTTTTCAGTGTTTTCAGTGTAATGTAACTGAAACTGTGTGGAGCCACACTTAATTCCTGCAGCATACCATCCTCTAAAAGATGAGATCAAGTAATCCACTATGAAAACTCTGCTACTGACTTGAGTGAGTGTGTTTGCAGCAGTCAGCTCATTACATATTCATGGCCGTCATTTTGTAATATTCCATTCGAATGCTCCGAATACTGTTTGCTTCTCAAAGAGGCCAAGACTGGTAATCTGTTTTTCTCTCTGTAATAATGCCTGTGTTAATAATTCATGGATTAATCACCACATGTGAATATGGAGAAAGTAAACTGACACAGTAACAGTGAGCTAAAGCTTCTCAGGAAAGAGACAAAAAAAACTTTCAATGAAGGAAAAATACTGAGACATCCCAATCTGTTTCGGACATTATTTCATTTATGTTACATAAGCAAAGGAAAGTACATTAGGAGACAACACAAAACCACACTGCCACCAAACAGAGAGACGCAGCAGTTTTAGAAATATCAGCAACTCAAAACACTGAAATACCTTACATGTCCCATGTAACATGGTGGAAGGTCCCTTTAATGGCTTTTGTAACAGTCCCAGCTCTGGTGAAAGGAGACTTATATGCAGCAAAGTGTAAATAAAGATCTAATAAAAACCATCTCAGTACTAAATTGCATGAAATTACTCAACAAATCCTTAATACTCTGTATCAAATCCTCTAATAGCCTACTGGTTTGGAAATTGGGTCAGGAAAAAATGCTTACCCTCCTTCTTCAACCAAATTGAAGTTGGAAAAAAAATCCTGCTACAGTATCTGCAAACATAGTTGACAAAACATCAAAATCATCATCCAGGTAAGGAAATTCCAAAAAGTTGATTCTGCTTATCTGGACGTAGCGTTTTCATCTAAGTGACTTCTTCAGTCTCAGCTGACTGCAGGTTTCCGCAACCTTATAAACAGTGCATGTGCATTATGAATGAAACTAGCACAACTGACGAACAATGGGCCGTGATATCAGTTTCCTGATCACAAATGATCAACAACCACTGATCAAAGACCATTGATTAATGACAATTGACAAAGGGCCATGAGTAACAATTTACAGAGAGTTCAGGAAATGCTACAATCACAGCATTGTAAGATGGGGAAAGATGTACCCTTAGGTCCCCTCCTCGATTCAGAGATGGCCTTTCCTTTTTCACATAAATGGCCTCCTCGACTCCCTGATCAAACCAGCGTTCCTCCCTGTCCAGGATGTGTACATCCTCGTCATTGAAAGAGTGTTCATGGCCTGTAGATAGGCTAAGGAGTCTTGGTCTGACGAGTTTGCTCTTCTGTGTTTTGCATTTCACTTATCCACAGGTTGTCTGGTTTCCCCGATGTATAAATCATGGCACTCCTCCTGGCACTTGACAGCGTACACTATATTACTCTGTTTGTGTCGGGGAACAGGATCCTTGGAGTGGACCAATTTTTGGTGCAGCAGGTTTTGGGGTTTGAAAGCCATGGAGATGCTGTGTTTATAGGAAATGCATCTCAGCTGTTCTGATACTTCTGACACAACAGATCACTAAGGGCTTTTGCTTAAGCAGCAGTTGTCCTTATTCTCTCCCGGATTGACCTGGATTTCACAAATGTCCAACTGGGATAATCACATTTACTCAGGGCCTTCTTGATATGATGTTCTTCTGCTTCCCTGGCCGCTGTATCTGTGGGGCTGCTGTTGTAGTGTCCTGAGTATGCCCAGCATACTCCAGTGGCTGATGAGAGTCATAGTAAAATGGACTGATTCTTATATAGCGTTTCTACTCTCCCAGAGTACTCAAAGCGCTGTATACAACATGCCACATTCACCCAATCACACCCATTCTCACAAGCACTGACTCTAAACCGAGTGCTTTTCTAATGACATTCACACACATTCACACTCCGATGGATGCATCGGAGGTAGTATCTTGCCCAAGGATACTTGGCATGCAGACTAGAGGAGCCAGAACCACCAACGTTCCGATCAGTAGGTGACCTGCTCCACCTCTTGAGCTACAGCCACCCCGGAACCTTAAATAATTAGTCAACCCCAAGGATCAGGTCCCCCAGCACAAACAGAGTAATATAGTGTACGTTGTTAAGTGCCACAGGATTGCCATGATTTATACATCAGCGAACCTAAACAATCTCTGGCTAAGCAAATGGCACCACACGGTATAGCTAACTCGCCAGGCCGGCACTCTGCAGTCTATTCACACCTAAAGACCAGTGGACACTCTTTCAGTGATGAGGATGTACACACCTGGACATTGAAGGCCATTTATGTGAAAAGGGAAAGACCATCTCTGAATCGAGGAGGGGGCCTAAGGATACATCTTTTCCCATCTTACAATGCTATGATTGCAGACATTCCCCAACTCTCTGTGAATGGGTCAGTGGTTGCTGATCAATGGTCATGACACTTTGCATATTAATGATCAAGGAACTGACCTCACAGCCCATAATCCCTTTAGTGTGCTAGTCTCAGTTATTATGCAAATGTACTGTTTGTGAGGTTGGGGAAACCTGCAGTCAGCTGGGACTAAAGAAGTCACTTGGATGAGTGACAAAACGTTTGTCCCAATGTAAACACTACGTCCAGTTGAACAGAATGAACTTTTTGGGATTCCCCCTTTGCACAAACAAAACAAAACAAAATGAAAAAAAAAAAAAACAGGGATAGAAATCATCACCAAACAATTTACGTTGTGGTTCTGCAAAATGTTCCTGAATTGGTTCTATTAGTTACATAAAAAAACACACACACATCCATACAAGCAAAAAGCTTAGCTTTTTTAAGCACTCTGTGGTTTTTTTCATTTCTCTTTGTAATTGATTTACCGGCACATCTTCCTCTCCATTGGGACATCTGAATCATTAAAGTGCAGTCGTGCTTATTTCCATACCCATTACTGACATACTAGCAGTGGCCTAATAAACATGCTAATTCTTGGCTTGTAGCTAACACATTCCGCCGCACACACGCACACACGCACACACACACACACACACACACACACACACACACACAAATACACATCTGAATACACGCAAATAAAGGGTTTAATTTCAAACGCAATTAATTACATAAAGACACATACTTGCAAACACATTACAATGTGCTATAAACCATTTAGTAAATCTGTATATACAGCTAGTAACTGCTAAATAATGGGGGCTCAAATCAAAGTGTTGTCGATGTATCCGTTCCAAATGCACTGTTGTTAAAAGCAAGCATGAGTCCGTCCACAAAAACAACCATTATGTAAGCAGAGCCCCCATCTCATCGTGATTAAACATTTAGTAAAAGCGAATATCCACTTTTTCTAAAACAGCAGGCTTCTTGTTTTGTAATCTTCCTCTCCACATTGGCACTGCGTGGGTCATGTTCTGACCATACATCCCTGACCATTTCTGCAGAATTAGGTAGAATTATCCGTCTTCCAGTGTGAAAGAAATACATGGTCCTTAATGGTAAACTTTAGGCAGAGGTAAGTGAGCTTTAATGCAACATTTGTGCTCTTGTGTACAATGGATGTGATTATGTCGGGTACATCGTAATGGCAGAAGTGTGTGGTTTTAACACATAGCACTCTGTGTAGCCCTAATCTTCAAATCTGTCTTCTGATTTGTACACAGAGCCTCTATCCCTGTTTGCCGACCTCACACAGCAATGATAACCTGTTCTGGGATTAAAGCATCCCAGCTTGTATTTAAAACTCCCACTGCGGTCCCACTGCAATCGTTCTTTCCAGCTATTAAGAGGATTTGTTTCTTAATTGGAGACCTGTTCTCCCGCTCGTTTGCGCCTTCTTGTTTCTCTGAGCATTCACCTCCTGTTGTCTCTGTTTTTATTCCCTATAGTGAGCCACCAGAATCAGTTTAGGTTTGAGGCTGACAGCAGTAGGAGTTTGGGAAACCACACAGTCTCTTTTTGTTGGAGATTGAGCCACGTGATTGGCTTCCTGCGAGGATTCATGAATGGAGTGGGGTGTGGGCAAGGCTGTGGATGGAGCGGCGGCAAACACCTGGGGTTCCTTCTCATGGCGGTTGGAGCGGAATGTCTTAGTCACCCGAGAAAACGTCTTTAAGGTGGAGCTCTGCTCAGGGATGGAGCAGCTGAAGAATGCCGTGAAACACCTGTAAAACTACACAAAAACACACAGACACACACAGGATTAGCCGCAGAGTGGTAATGAGTTTGTTAATGGCTGAAATCTGTAGATTTGGGTGTTTGGTTAGGAGGTAAAAGAGGTGAACGTGACTGCAGGTGACTTTTGACTTGATAAATATTAAGATCTCTGATCACCTTTTCACCTCACCAGATAAAGCTTGTAACCTCTTACCAGAAAGAAGGCCAACTTTTTCTAAGCACATTTTGCAATATGTGTAATAACATGATTGAAACTATATGTGTAATATATTGAATAAATGTTTTAATCAAATGCCACTACTCAAAGCTTAATAAAAAGGATATCGAAGAATAAACATGATATAAAAATGATATAATTCCCACAAGAGACATAACAAGACTTGTTTCAGTAGTTTGCAGTAAAATGTAAGAATAATTTAAGCTGCTTTAGACTGAATAGAACTGTGGTACATCTACACACTGCTTTGCAACCCACCTCAACGCCAACTCACCCTTTCATGACTAAATAATTCAGTGTCACCTCTGTCACTGATGCTTGCTCTTTTGTGTTGAATACAGATTACTGAAGTTCAGAATAACCATCTTATTTTGACTTCCAGTGGTAAAATCCTAATGCATGCTGTAATGACATAGTACTATGAGTAGAAACAGGTTTGGGCTCCAAGAAGTGACTGACAGCGTTCCGTTACGTTTGCGTGTGTTTTATGCTGCTGCACATCAGATGCTTTCTGCATGGTTTTGCATGGTGGATGGTGCTTTTCTGCAATCATAATTGACTTGACTCTGGACAAGATGTTGATGAGGAATTGAACCACATATCAGACCAAATGCCACTGATCTTCAGTCCAGTTTGTGTGTAATTTGGCATACTTCAGCCTTTTCTCACTGTTTCCCTTCCTTAAGAATGCGTTTTTGACAGCCATCCTTCCACTGAGTCCATTTCTGATGAGGGTTGAGCAAACAACAGATGGATCGACTCAAAGGGCAGCTGTATCTCTCAGGCCCTGAGTCAGGTCTTTGCTGTATTTTTTCCCCTTTTTCTTAAGGACGTGCCTTTCAGATACATTTATTTTGCTGTAAATAATGCTTTAGGACATCAGTACACACAGCACACCGTTCTGTGATATATCGTGTTTTCAGCTAAAGCTCTTTGGGAATCCCTTTGTTGGATCAAAAGTGCTGTTTCATGCCTGTCTGACTGTTACCTTTTGTAATTTTTAGACAGATCACTAATAACGATGTGATTGAAGATCCTGAACTGAAAATGAGTGAAAAATCTGACAACATCCAAAGAAAAACTAGGAAAAGAGATTCAAAAAGGATGGACAAGTTTTACACAGTACTGTAAATCCTGTACTTACTAGTAGTAGTAATAGTATTTAACTGAGGTTTGCACTGAGTATAAAAAGTGAAACAGACAGCACAGCAGAAAGACTGGAAAACAATGGAGAAAAAAAGTAATAGTAATCATTCAGCAATAACAGCAAACACTGAAAATACTGATAAGAATAGATGTTTCTCTCCAGTGTTCATAACTTTGGTATATTTCAGATATTTGTTAACAGAAGTGTATTAATGTAAGGAATAAGACACAGCAACGAAATGACCAAGAGATCAGAACTAACTGGATGTTGCACAGACAGAAATACCATATAATGATAATCATAGTGAAGTCATTGAAAAATAAGAGGAGGTTTGCAATTACACACTTTCAAGTTTTCTGTCTTCTGCATGTTTTGAGTCCGGCAGGCATCCCCTGGATAAACGTAGTGTACTTAGTATACTCCCCAGTTCCACATGTATACTTAAAGTCTACTACATTTCCCCAGGGTGCTGCAGATCAAACAAGCGTGCTGCATGAAACACGACACCTCGGCATGCAGTTTCCTCCAGCATGTTAGCACCCTTTGAAAATGTAGACACCCACTTATTGATATGACAAATGAGACCAGTTTGTAGTGCTTTTTAACTAAGACACTTGAGCAATTGGCTGATAATTCCTCATATGAGCCAATTAATTTCTGTTACCCTGAGGAAATTATGCAGCTTTCAAAATTAGCTGTGTGCTTTAAATCTGCTCGTCTCAAATCCCAGTGTGTTAATCAACTAGAGAGATGTGCCTGGGGGAGGAAAAAAAGAAAATGCTGGTTTGAAAGTAAAACCGCAGAGAAAAAAGAAAAGGAGAGAAGTGGGAAGGAGAAATTGGGGAGGAAGGAGGGCGAGCTGACGTCAGGTGGGATTACAGCTGAGATCAGACACAGACTGGGATCTTATGATGAACTGATGAGTGACCAAATCCTCCCCTGCCACTCCAAACCTGTGGGAGTGATTAACACAAATGAACATGTGATACCACCTTGATGTGAAGTGTGGTCTTTAATGCAAGAGACTGGGGTTGGTGGGTGGGAGCGATGATGTGAGGGTTTCACAGTTGGTGGTGTGTTTTTCATCTTCGATGGGCATCTGCAGCTATTCTTTGCAGTGCAGTGTTGAAAACAAAAGCCAGGCTCATTCCAGGGATTTACTTTATTTTTCAGACGTATGAAATAACACCTGGCAGTGTTAATAAACATGCTCAATATCATCATTTCTATTGTGCAGAAGTTCTGGTGGTATACAGCAAATAGGAGTTTGCAAAAGGTAAATAAATAGACAGTCGTTTTATTATTTCAAGACAAACTGGAAAATCTATTAAACCTCTAGAGTTTGTGCTGTGCCGGAAAGGTGTTCACAAGAATAGAGCCCACATTTATGATTCCAAGAGGAACTTATTTATTAACTTATTTCAGTCATGTATACTGTTCAAACCTCTGATGCTCGTATTAATGTGGCCAGAGTTTCAAATAATGAAGTAAAAATGCAAATAAACCCTATAACTCCAAAACTTTAAATACTCCAAACACTATGCTTCGGGCACTTTTTCCTGAAGAGATATGTGGCCCTCACAGCACACCAGAAAACATTAGTAAAAACTGGCATTAGTAATACTAATCCATACATTGAAACACTTAAAAGGAAAGATTTTCTGCTGAATAAGTACTTTTAATTATTTATGTACAGTTGGCCAGTCATACATTTTATCTGTAGGTGTTTTTACATTGTTTTATTGCTCAATAAATAGTTCTACAACAGAAAAAGAAAATACCTCCAACACACGACATTGGCAGCTAATGTTAAACATTTTGCAGCTCACTATATAGGAAATACTATTTTACAATTCCTCAGCCAGGAAGCAACACTAAAAGATGAAGACGTCCATACAGAGTGCAGCAAGATGCAGGCAGTGAGCACACAAAAAGAATAAATGCATGTTGTACAAAATCATGAAAAGGTACGATTTACCTTGGTATACTGTGGAGGAAGTTTTTTTTTTTGTGTGTGATTGCCCTATTCACAAAATGTTGTTGTCTCCACTAAACTATGACATCATTGTGGATATTAAAAGCAATAAAAACGCTTGGAAAAAACAGACCTGCTTGTGTGGTAGCCTGCTTACATGCTGATGGTGGTTATATTGATTTCTTTATTTGATTTCTCTCAGCTTTGGTAACTCTGGTGAAATGGACTGCATCACAATGAGAGACTGAAAACGTAGCTGTGTTCCTAGTTTCCCAGTGTCTTAGTTCCCTCGTGAACCTTGCAAATGGTTTCTGAAGTACAAACACAGATGGCCTATTAAAGTAAATTAAGTACATAATGTCAGATAAAAAATATGTAACAGCCTCCAGCCTGAATTTGTTAAAAAAAATCAAAGAGCTGTGTGCAAAGTTATATTCAGTTACATCATCGTTAGCTATAGAACAAAGGAAGCTCCCTGAAGATTGTTTCTAATGTAACTGAAATAAGACTGAAGTCCACTGTATTTTTGTCCATTATATGATAAGTTTAGAGTGTGGTAAGGTGGATAAATATTGAATTTTTGATGCGTTCGCCTGGAAAGACGATTATAAGAAGAGCGTGCCCATATGGAAAAGAAATAGTAAAACCTTATAAAAGACTTGCATAAGATGTGGCCTACTTCATATAGTGAATATAAGGCTTATATGATTTACTCATGAAAGTGGCCACTTTCTCATTACTTTCATATATTGTTTTAGTAAAACATACAAGTTTCATTTATATAATTTTTCAGGGGATCTTATATCTGTTTTCACTCTTGTGTGCTTTTCATACAAGTTTCACACAAGACAGATACAAACTTTATAAGATTTATATATATCTTTTCCATATGGGTGGGGCTGCTTTTGTTTGGTGAGCCTACAACAGAAGACAGTAAAGCTCTTTGTTTGTAATGTAAGAAGTGGGGTTTTTTTCTTATTATAATTGTGGGCTGAGTACTTTTATGCGCTTGACACAATTAACTAACCACAGTGTGGCAACTCTAAATCAGCAATATTAAGATTTCTTCTTAACTGAAAGCACATGTGCTTTTAGCATCAAATCAAGCCAAAATCATGTCTGTTAAGTTTTAAAACAGAAATTGGTTAAATATACCGCTGCTTTAATGTGTAATCAACTGAATATTGTAGCTAATGAAGATGAGGCTTTTTTGGAAATGTTTGATTTCAGGGCATGAGAAGTAACCACAATGTAACAGCCAATAAAAAGAATTTCAAACACATAATGAAACATCACGTTACACATGGAATGTCTTAAGAGAAATCCTCGAGGCAGGTTTGTCTGTCTTGTGACTGATAAATAGCTAGTGACCATCGCTTTTGACTAATAGATTTTATCTCGCTCTGAATTGGAGATTGCTATACATGCATTTATTTCGTCATGCTTGGATTATTGTAATTCGCTGTTTATGTGTCTAAGCAAAGGTTCTCTGGATCGTCTGCAGGTTGTGCAAAACGCTGCAGCTAGACTTTTGACAAAATCGTCCAAGTACTCACATGTGACACCATTGTTATCTCAGTTACACTGGCTCCCTGTTAAATTTAGAGTCAATTTTAAGATCCTGGTCTTGACCTACAGAGCTGTGCACGGACTGGC